CTGATGAGTTTACATCGTCCACAATGCAATCCGACAGCTTGGATTAGTAAACTACCCCCCCAGCAGATGGCTCCAGAGTAACTTCTGAACTATTTGAATTACCACTGAATCGTTTAACCTATATAATATGATGCTGAACAGTCCAGACAGACGATGGCCCAAAATGTCCCCTTTTCCAAACCCAACATTCATGCATCTCCTCTTGAAGCCCCATAATCACCCACAAGCACCAGCGCCTGTGCGGAATCAGCCACTGTTCCTCATCCGGCAAAAGTGGCCTTGCCACCACTCGGAATAAGCCACTGTTCATCATCCGGCAAAAAGTGGCCTTGCCACCACACAGACAGGATCCAACCCATCTGACCCAATCTTACCTATCAGAAGGAACAAACAACCAAAATTATTTTTGCATGAACATAGCATGGTCCCCCCCACACCTGTTTTTGAGTTCTGTTTCTAATCCCTACTGCTGACAGCGAAGACGGGAAAAGCACTCAGACTTATATGCAAGCACATTAACTTATGGACCTTCTCAACAATTTAGGCCAGCAGACGCATTAGGATATGTCTCAAATCCACCAACTTGGTAAACAAAGTAACCATCTCACATGGTCAAAACAAATCAATCACACTACAGAATAGCAAAGAAGCAGCACTCAAGTTATTTTTGGTTGATTTCTCATCAGTTTCAAAGATGAAAACATTACCACATCATAGGTTCGGAAATACTTTAAACGGCAGCCCAGCTGCGGTACGTACTTGGGAATACTGGTAATATTACAATATATTATCTCTTACAGACTACAAGCTTATAGAAGCTATAATATCACATACACGGGAACATACGACGATCCACTCACGATAAAGCCCCTGCGGTTGCAACATACGCAGGGCACAGAGTTTTAAACTATGTGGTAAACCAGCCCTTCCGGAATGTCAATCATGCTTCGACACGGCGTGGGAGGCTGCCATCATTACCTGCCATCGTGAGGACAGACTGAAGGAGCTTCTTCTTGAGAGCAACCGATGCACCCTGCGACACAACAATCAAGTCAACGAAACTCGAAACCCAAACATTTTATGGCGAAGCCTAGGATAATTTGCAGGCACGAACCGCAGTCAAGTTCATTGGATGCTGTCCAGGGACAAAGTTGATGATGTGGTGCACCACCTGCATCGCCGTGTCCGTACTGTCCCCCCGGCAATAAAAAGATAGTGCTTAGCATATTAGAAGGAATATAGGACCCAAAAGACGAGAGGCAAGCAAAACTGACCTCTCATAGGTACATGTAGCGTGGAAACAGTAAGACCATCCATTGTTCGGCACTTTCCCCTCGCCCCAGAACATGTCACCACACTTGATGAACCCATCTAGCAGCTCCCCCGCATTCCGCAAGTGTTTTGCTTTGATCTTGCTCTCACCAGGCTTGCAAATGTTCGGATCAATCACATGAAGAACCCTGCGGAGAACGTCAAAGGCATATAGACTCCATCCTTGACCAAGGTACACCACCACCAGGGCCTGCAACGTGATTCAGTTAGCCACACACAGACAACAAGATAGATGTGAATGGTATATTTTGTTTCAGCACACCCATTTAGTGGAAGTTGAAAACCGGAGCACTAACCACTTCGCACTTAAGCCCCGGCGGTAGTTCATTAAACATCGCACGGACATCTGCCCTCCTCCAGTACCCAGCAGTGTATGCAACTTTAAACTGCGAACACAATTCATTTACAGTCAATCAAGACAGACGCCACTAGACGAAGCAATGAAATCAGGTTAACAGAAGTAGACACAAACTTACCTCCCAATCAGGACCAATGATCAGCCTCCCTGACGCGGGCGGGCAGATCCCCAAACGAAGAATTGAGTCAAGACCTTTACTTGCAAGATCATTTTCGATGCGAAACTCTTCCACCACCTGCTCACCAGTCATCTCAATGTGATATGGGCGCCGATGCTTGAACCAGACCCTGCACACGGCACCTCTCTATATCATCGTTCATGCTCTTGGCTAACCGATCAACAAAATACACCGGGATGATGGGCATCATTTGTTCACATACCTAGACAAATCATTAACCGATGAATCCATGGCCTTCGCATAGAAACGATCATCTCTTCTCTTCCCCTCCAGCTCAGAAACAGCTACCCCCATCGGGTTTGCGAGTAGTCAGTCGTCATCCTTGAGCGTTTACTTGGTGGAGCCACAGGAAACCACCCAAGCAAACTGCTCTGTGAGAGGGCTGAATACAAATATAAACAGATTAATAACAGAGGAACACAAAACACCATGACATTCATGTGGGGCCGAAAACAGATAACCCAACTTGACAAACTAGAGGAATAGACATAGTGGGCGAGGGAGAGCACATACCACGAGGACGCAAATCCACACTAGGGCCCCTAACAGGGGAAGGACCCATTGTTAAATTCGTGTCGACAGGCATAGGGTTCATCGGACGAACAATGGGCGTCCCATTTATGAACTCACTAACATCATTCGTCAAATTCAAGTCAAGACGCCTAGCCACACCTACACAATAAACAGTGACACCCCCGCCCGCGCAAGTAGTTAGTAATGACCTGGAATTGTATGCAGCTCGTGCGCACGAACTCGGAAAAGTTTTGTCCAGTTGGGAGCTTACCAATTCCGGAATTGGTCGAACCAAATTCCCTCAACGACGCCCTACGGTTCAAGTCAAGGCTATTTGGGCTTGGGAATGGTCCGAATAGAGTCCGTGCATCAGGGATCACATCGCCCCCCCAGCATTGCCAAGCATGCCACCACCGATATGCACAACACCTACACACACACACACACACACACACACCGGAAATGCATGTTTTGATCACCCCAGAGGCAAGCATTATCTAATAACATGATCTACCGAGTACATATCAGTTAACTAAGAGGCTCACCGGTGGCAGCACCCAAGTTTGTCATCAGATCCGTTCCAAGGCGCTTCCTAATAGTCGGGTTCACGAGCCTATAAGTGGATGGACCTATAAGAAGGAACATTTTTAGGTCTGTTTTGCCAGAAGCCATCAGAACAAACCCCCACGGAACGATATGAAGCAGAAGACACCACACACACACCTGTTGCCTCCTGTATATTGCTTTTCCCGGTGGCATCAGCCAGAGCACTCGTGTTATGTTCTGAAAGTAAAGAGTTATTGCCACTGAACATTTTGAAGGAAATATATCAACACGAACAACAATGGAGCAAATCTCACCAGACTATCAACGAAGCGAACCTCACCACCCACCACCCGCAGCCTGCAGTCGCCTACTCTTGAAACCGCACCCCCCAACATCTCACTACACGAATTGACATTGCTGGCGTTGCGCCCGTCAATCATTGCAAGCAAACTGGTCATGCAAGACTCAACATGGTTTCTCAAGTTCATGTTCTCCTCACTAACAGAGGAGATGTGTGCATTCATCACATCACTCAAATAATCTACCACCTGCAAGAGAAGCACACCCCCTTTTTATTTTGGTTCTTCATAATAGGTAGCGCGAAGGCACGTCCACAGCTAAATATATACGATTGTGCCATAGATTTATACCTCAGTCTGCCACCTGGCCACATCCAACAACGGAATGACATTTTCAGTTGGGGCAGCAACGGCAGCAGCGCCATTGTTCAGAGAAGGAGCAAAACCCTGGCTCGCCAAGTCCTCAGCAACGACATCCTCACTGACAGGCCTCAACTGGCAAGGGAATGAAACATCAGACCAAGAGCATGTATAACAGTAGCAAGCATATATTCAGGTTCGTAATTTTTCTACTTACCCTCGCCTTGCCGTATAACCTGTGCCCCCCTATAACCCAACGATCAGCGTCCACACCAGCTAGTAGTTGGAAGTCTGAGGCGGTGTACAACGCTATGCGGGGATGCCCTGG